TGATTTGACAATAAAAACTTAAAAAATTCTATATTTTTCATCTTGTCTCCCTTTCTCTTTCCTCTTTCTTGTCTTGCCTTCTTCATCTTCTTCTTTATGATTTGACAATAAAAACTTAAAAAATTCTATATTTTTCATCTTGTCTCCCTTTCTCCTTCTTCTTTCTTGTCTTGCCTTCTTCATCAATCAATTCTTTTTCATCATCAAACAACAATACCCACAAACAAAAAAATACAATCATTTTTATTTTTTACCACTGGGTTCTGAACCCAACGTGTTAGGTTCCATTGAGCCCATGCATGTTGGGTTCCATCGAACCTAGGTATGCTTGGTTCAAAGGAACCCCATGCTTGGTTCAAACGAACCCAATGCCTGCTATGTTCAAAGGAACCTAGCAAATGTTGTTGGGTTCAATTGAACTTAGATCTAGTGTTAGGGAAGGGAGAGAGAAAATGAAGCCTGTTGGGGGAAGAAGATGAATAACCACTAGGTTCAATCGAACCCAGATTTGGTGTTGTGGAAGGCAGAGAGAAAATGAAGCCTATTGGAGGAAAAAGAGGAACAATCGGTGGGTTTAATCGAACCTAAATCTAGGGTTGGGGAAGGGAGAGAGAAAATAAAGCCTGTTGGGGGAAGAAGATGAACACCCACAAAGGTTGGAGATGAAAAGGAAAGGGTAATGAAAAGAGAAAGGAAAGAAATTAATGTGTGGTTGAAGAAGGTAAAACAATAATTTTAGTTTTATAATTAGTTTAATAATTAGTTTAAAATATTTTAATTTTTAGTTAGAGATTATGTGTTAAAGCTTAAGTTGTATTGTCAGTTCTATGTGTTAAACTATTTTTACGTGTCATCCTTTTTTGTCAAGTAATAGGACACTTAGTAGAAAATTTAACAAAAGGATTAAATTGGGGTCAAAAGGTAAACAATAAGGATCAAATCAAGAATTTTTTAAGTTGAGGGATTAAATCTAAGATTTATATAATAGTTGAGGGACCAAAATAAAAATCTAACCTAAAAATTAATAGATAATTTGTTAGATAAAGTCTTCTTTCTCCCCTAAATTTATTTATTAAAAAAAAAAAAACCACTCTCAAAGCTTGCTAGGGTTCTTGGCCATCCTCGATTTTTCTCTTTCGTAAACTCACAAAATGTGGAGCAGAAGCCGCGTAAAAATCATCGAATTGAGTTCCTTATGGAGAAGATGGATGAGTTTATCGGCCAAGTCCGGAAGGAGATTCGCGGCGGTGTGGGGAAATGGGGATTACGGGAGGTTGGGAGTTGGAAGCTTGGAGTCTCAATGGAGGCCTAGGGCTGTCTTTCCCCCTGCATTCCGAAACCAAAGCGTCAAGGCTATTGCCTGCGGCGGTGCCCACACCCTCTTCTTGGCAGGTTCTTTCATTTATTTATTTATGTTAATTTTGCAGAGAAGTTTGTTGAGTTTGTCTCCTTGGTTCATGACGTTTAAGATTTTAATTAAATTCGTGGTGAATACAGAAACGGGCCGGGTTTTTGCCACCGGTCTTAATGACTTTGGACAGCTTGGTATATCTGAGAATATCCGTTATGTAAAGGTCAAATATATTTTCTTTTTCCCTAATCTTATTCTCTTTTTCTATTTTGATTCTCCGATAATGGTTTCTCAATATTGAAAGAACACTCTTATTCAAGTAAAAAGTCAGTTTTTCACAATTCCTCCAAATCTGCAGTAACTCTTGCCTTCAAAAGTTCTTGAAGATGTCTAAAATGACTATACACTTGTTCTAGAATAATGCTGGTGCATGAATTATAGTAGTTTTCATATGTTTGTATGACACATTATATATTTATTTACGGGTTGATTTCTAGATCTTTTTTTGTTGCTCGTAACTTTCAGTATTAAACAAGAAATTATTTTTAAGGCCAGGGCATGAAGTGCAGCATTTTTCAAAATTTCTAATAAACACTAGATAGGAATTTACTAGTTTGTTTTCTTGTTCTGTGTGGGTTGTCTGTAATGACCTGCTTATGTTATTGCAGGTGCCACTTGAAGTTTCAGGGCTAAAGAAGGAAATTGTGCTAGTTTCAGCTGGATATCATCACTCTTGTGCCATTACAGGTTTTAGTTAGGGGTTCTATTGTTTTTTGTTTGCTTAAGTTTGCTATGCCTTATATGGAGGTATCACTATTTTGATATCTACCTTGTGAAGAGTTGAAAAAGAAGCAGTAGCTCATGAAAGTGGGCCCATTGATAAAATGGGAGGTAGGGAGAACTCTTATCTTGGCGATCATACTAATGAGTTTGATGAAGTCTTGGTAACTAATTTAATTATAAAACCCCCCAAAAACAATCAAAAGATGAGAGTTCAAACTTCCAACCATTAAGTCTTGAGGAATAGTATAACTGATGTTTAAATTACAATGATACTTGCAATGAGCAACCTAAAACCAACACTTATGTCTAATTTTAGCAGTGAATAACAAGAGGATCCATCGATATCTTGTTATCACAGTAAGTTTGTTCAGAAGACATGCTATCCACCCTTAGATTTTTCAAGAACCAAAGAAATAGAGAATGTATGTTTAAACCATTTATTTTATGAAGGGGTGAGTGGTGGCCATAAACCCAAATAACTCCCATTTCTAATCTCCCTAGTCAAAACCATGTAATTGTCCACCACCCTATAAATTTCCCCCATTATTATGCTGATGAAGATTGCACTTCAGTAGGATGAAATGAACTTCACTAGCCCGATCTTGCTAGTCCATTTTGGTTTAAAGTTGGGTTCCAAGGCTTCTAGTATTTCCCAAATGAATGAAATTCTTTAGCCTTTTTTTTCTCTTAATTTTCTCATGAGGTCTCCTTTTGGAGGGCTTAGATTTATAGTTTCCATCATTAATCTAAATCTAATGAATTAGGTTTGCTTCTACCTATTAATGCATTAAGGGAGGGCTCTGGTTGTCTCATTTTTCTATAAATATATGACACCTACACAATGCTTGCATGGCATTTTTTAAAAATATTCTTTTTCTATTATTTTTCCTTATTCATTTTCCTTCTCTTCTGCTCTCATTGTTAAATTATTGCAAGCAACTTAGTTTTTTTTTCTTTTTTTGTTTTTTTTTTTTTCTTCTTTTCTTAGTGGATGGTGAACTCTATATGTGGGGGAAGAACTCAAACGGGCAGCTTGGCCTGGGAAAAAGTAATAAATAAGCAATATTTTATTTTAATTTTCTTTTTATCTTTATGTTAACTAGCCTTTGTCTTTTTATTTATTTTTCCAATCCACTTCTACTGAGTGGCACCTTGTGCTGACGTGCAGAGACAGCAAAAATAGTTCCTTTTCCAACTAAAGTAGAATACTTGAGTGGAGTCGTCATCAAATCTGCAGCTTTAGGTTCAGAGCATTCAGTTGCTGTAACTGGTTAGAAACTGGAGAAGCTTATAAATGTGCATATTCTAGTTTTCTAGCCTTTTTTTTTTTTTTTTCATGGGCAAAAGTAAAAACAAATTTTATTTAATTTAGGAGTACAAAGGTACTCCAACCTACTACATACTTAACACAAGACTTGTCAAATTACCATGCATTCCATCCCCTTACTGATACAGATAGCCGTACCTCTGTACAGCTAGTGCTCTAGCTATTACTGATTTCAAGTTGCTGAGGGCATTCTTATCTTTCTTGGAGTAACCTTTATTTATTTGTTTAGTTTTTATTCATTTTTGTTTATGATTTTTAACAGATGGAGGTGAGGCCTTAAGTTGGGGTGCAGGAGGATCTGGTAGACTTGGTCATGGTCATGAATCAAGAATTTTTGGGTTTTTAACAACAACCAGGTTGTGTGTAATGTTTTATGTTTTCCTTTTATGTCAATATAAAGAATTGTTGATGTAATAGAAGCTTCATATCTTCATTTCCTCGTTACCTTTAACTAATTTGGGATGTCTAGTGTGTAATATATGTGCCTTCTTGTTGAATGGCCCAAAAAAAGGTAGAAGTTGAATTAATACAGAACTCCTTTTGGGACAAAACGTACGTGGTACTTAGATGGTCTTCTTGTTTGTATTTGAGATTGGGTTCAACTGCTCTAGTCATGGGCACAAAATGAACTTCTACTTTTATATGTGAAATATATGTGCCTGTTGCTGTAAATTTTGACACAAGTTCACTGATTGATTATCATAAGGTTATGGTTCTGGTGTAAGAATAAAAGAAATTGATATCATGTATCCCATGTGTGCTATGTATGGCATGAACATCTCCATTCTGTGACATAGTAATAGCTTATGGCTGATCAAAAGCAATAGCTTACTGTCAGTTTCTTTTTTTTTTTTCCCATTTTTTTTATGGCGTTTTGTGTCCTGTTGTGGTTTGAGTTGGGGGGTGGGGGGGGTTAACTATCATATTGCTTTGTCCTTTGTAAAGCCATCTCATCTTCCTTTCTCAATTCCATCTCTTCATCCTGGTAAAACTTATTGTTTTATCCTAATTATGTTTTCATGTATGTATCCTTTGCAGTGAATATACACCAAGACTTATCAAGAAACTCGATGGAGTGAAGGTTTGTCATGAGTTTCATAATGTTTTTTTGCAAGCATAAAATGGATGACACATTGTTTTAACTTTACTTACTAGGTTCTAAAACTGCACTACATGCGATTTGTTTGTATTGCACCTTTTTAGTAATTACCAAATATAATAATATTTATTCACAATTGAAATTAATTTTTAATTAATGAATATAAAAGTCATTTCAAGGAGATATTTAACCTATACATCAATTCAAATTTTTTAGATAGACATAATTGAGCAGTTTTTCAAGTCTATAACCATTACTATTATGTCTTTTTTTAGCCCACTTTATCTCTCCCAAATGCCCCTACTAAAAGGTTTCAAGTAAAAACATAGAAGACATCACAAATTTTATCTATTTATACTTGCCTCCATCTCTCTGTCTATATATTAATAATTTGTTTGTTATTATTCTCTCCCCTTATCCTCCCACTATATTATTCATTTTTTATAATTCCTTGCATTTCTATCAATCATTGTTATCTCTTTTGACTCCAGTTCTCGCTCTCTCTCCATTTATCTATAGTAGACATGTTGGTTAAAACTTAAAAGCCACAACTTTTTAGTATTATTTCATTGGTACCTTTTGACTTCCGTACCATTACTGCTACCTTTCATCATTAATTTTTCTTACAACACCATCTCTTAATTTACCATATCACATTTTCTCACTCTAAATTATATCTACCTCACTTTCCCTTTCCCTTTATATATTAATAATTTACTTATTATTATTTCTTTCCTTATCCTCCCCTCATATTATTCTTACTTAGTCACCCTTTGTATCTTCATTTATCATTATATATTTTTTAACCCAATTTTTCTCTATCTATTATTAACTATTTCTTGTTTTTCAAAATTACAATAACATATAAATATCTTAAGATCACAAATAATTCAATAATATTTGCTATAAATTTATACATATATCAACAAAGTTATAGGTTTTAAACAATATAAGGCAAAAAAGCCTACATTTTCTCCTTTCTTTTCCCTCTTTATATTAATAATTTATTCGTCATTATTTGTTTTCTCATTATCCTCTCATCTCTATCATTCTTTGTTAGTCATTCTTTTAAATCTATATCTGTCAAAATATAAATCTTTTTTTACACCATTTTTTTTCCCTCTTGGTACTTTTTCACTTCCCTATGCATCATCTTTCATGTTTCGTTAATTTTTCTTGAGACTTCATCTCTTAGCTTATTCTCGCACATTTTTATCAATGTATTTATCTATCTACTCTACATTCATCCTCATTCTCTCTCTCTCTCTCTCTCTCTCTCTATATATATATATATATATTGTCTATGATTAAATTTCTCTTATTCTTTCTTAGTCACTTCTAACATCTCTATTTATTATTATCTACCATTTTTATCCCAATCTCTCTGTCCTCCCTTGTGTGTATATTAGAATTATTTAACTTTGTTTTAATGAATATATTGAAAGCCTCTAAGGGCAATTACTTTGCCATTTTCATAATTTTTATAGATTTTTGATAAAGAGAATGTTAAATCATTTTTAGGTTTCTTGTAAATGTTCTTTCTTTAATTTTAGGTTCCTTATGGTTTTTCTTACTTCCCAATTATGCTTAGGTGGTTTGTTTAAAACTCATTTTATACTTTTCAAATTAGTCTTTGAAGTTGATATATTCATTATCAAGTTAAAACACATCAATTGTACATTGCAATTTGGAGCTATTCATAAATCTTGATATTTTAGTAATCATTATTAAGAAAAACATTTATTCAAAATTATTTACATTTTCCTCATAAAAAAAATTATTTACATCTTAATCATTGTTAAGAAATATGATTATCAAAGAATAATGGAGTAAATAAGAATTAATTTGCAAATTCTGCTTTGAATATAATGTAATGTGTATCTACGCTAAACACATTATATAATTAAAATAAAAAATTGGATTATATATTTGGGTAAGATGTTATCAACTAATATGTAGAAATAATATGTATATGTAGAAGTCAAATTATTATGTGGTAATTGAATTGGGATTTGAAAGCAAACTGATGAGAATTAGATATAATTAAAGTATTATTAAATATTATTATATTAATGCCAATGAGCTAAGTAGTTCAGTGGTAATCTCATATTGTGTAGGCTAAGATAAAAAAGAAGAAGAAGGTATTATTATGAGAATTAATCTAATAAGGAATCATTTGTACCTTGCTCACCAAGAAATTTGAAAGTGTATTAATTTAATTTAATTAGGTTTCAACTTCCTTAATGAATACTTTCTAAGAGGTCCATTTAGTATTTATTTGATATTTTAGAAAGATTTTAAAACTATTAGGTATTTTATTGGGTATTTATTAAAGATTTTAACAAATTTTATAATATAGTATTGGATTTCAACAATTATATAACTAAAGTTTTCAAATCAATTTGGAATTGAAGTTGATGAACAATTGACTTGAAGTACAGAAAGAGAAGTTATTATGCCCTTTTTTTTTTTTTTTTGCTTAATCAATTTGTAGAATCAAATTGAGATCATAATAATTATAATTATAATTATATTATAACTAATTATTTATTGAAGATTTTAAAAGACTGATTGAGTTTTTATTTGAGATTTGAGAGGGATTTTAACAGAATATTGGGTATTTATTCAATGTTTATTGAAAATTTTATCAATTTTTAGGAGTTTATATAATATGGTAAGATACTACTCTTCTATGGACCTTGCTGGTTGCACTTTATTGTAATCATCTTTGCTCAAATGGTGGACTTGATGATGATGCAGAGATGGGAATGTAAATAAATAAATGAAATATATATAAATATATATAATTGAAGTAGTAGAAGTCAGATTAAAGTAGAATTGTATTAAAAAGAAAGATTATTATTAAAACTGTAACATTGAAGATGCTTATGGAAAGATTACGTTTGAGAATAAATATAATAGAGTTTGGATTTTAAATGACCCATTAGGTATTTATCAAAGGTTATTAAAGGCTCATTAGGTATTTATTTGAGATTTATCAAAGAATTTAATAATTTTTATAATATAGTAAGATTTGGCTATTGATGATTGCTTCAGGTTGAAAAAGTTGCTGCTGGGTTGCTTCATTCAGCATGCATTAATGGTATTCTAATGATCTATGTTCAAAGATGATCATCATCTGCAGTATCAATTCTTTATATTCCAAAACTTATGTGTTTGATGTCTGGAATATTGCAGAAAATGGGTCTTTATTCATATTTGGGGAGACAGCAGTTAACAAGTTGGTAAGTTTAGCAGCATTAGTTTTAGTAATTGTGGTTTAAGTAATCTTTGAGGTGACTTCTTTTAGAACCTTCCAAGTGATAATTCTGTAATTCTTCAATGAATAATAAGGGTTTTAGTGAGGTAAAGGATACCAAAACACCCTCCTTGATCAGCACACTACCACATTTAGAAGATGTTGCATGTGGTGGCTATCACACATGTATTATAACAAGTAAGTTCTCTGTTTTGCCTTAATCTGTATGCCTTTGATTTTTTAGATCTTTTTGTCATTTTATTATAGAGCATGAAGGAGATAATTGATGTGGAATAACAAAGGGGTTTATGGATAATCAGAGGAAAGAGCAAATATGAGCAGAGGAGAAATAGGTACCTTTTTTGGAAGACATAATCTAATTTATATCAAAACCAAATAACCCTAATACAACCTAAGCTTATATAGAGAATAGAAAACCCTAATCAGATGTAAATTCCTCATTGAGGGATATCAAATAGTAATAAATATAAAGTACTAGTAAATATAAAATTAATTTTATATTTATTTATAGTTGTGGTAGAATTATTGATGTAGAGCAATGCATTATGCCAAGGATCCCTGGGATCATCCACCTCAATGCCTTGGAGTTGAACAAAAAGGGATAACCAAGAGAATTGGTCCCCTAAAACATGGGAATCCACTCTTGAAATATGTCAAATTATTTAAATACCAAACATACCTTACAAGAACCCACAATAACCCATATTTATACTAAATTGTAATACCTAAGTTCATCCCCTAATTAAATTCTAATTCATGAATCTTGTTTTTCTAGGTTCATGCTAAACAATAATGCTTGTATCTTAATCCCTATATACTTGAACTCCTGAAATATACTAACCATAATTTTAGACTATAATAACTAAAAATAGCAAAGCATCAATTTTCATTGACCTTCTTTGGCTTCTTTAACAAGCTTCTGCATTATTCTCTGTGGCTCGAGAATACTCATCCTTGATTTTAAAGCTTTTCATCCTCACAATTAATCATAGCCTAAATTGTCACACTTCAACATCTAAAGAGATGTCATTTAGTTTAAGGGTTGGGATTTGCATGGAACTATTTAGATCTAGGTTGGTGACGGAGTTATGTCCACCTTAGGAGCATGTCTAGGATGGGGTCCTCAAATATAGAAGTGGGTTTTGAGTTCACCATTTTTTCATCCATGTTGATGATGTTGGATTCCTACGTGTTCTTTTTCTCTACAATCCTTGAATTCTTTTGAGGATCCAATTCCTCTTGCTTTGAAGAAATATCGGGGAAAACAAATTTTGCTAGAATTGAATAAGCATTTGGAAAAACAAGTTCTACCTCATCTAGATTTGACGAGACAATTGATGATTTACATTCTACTTCTTGATTTGACAAACCAATGGCAACAAAAATTTTGTTACCCCATCTACATTTGGATCTTTGTTAAATGTATCTTTGTTTAAAATAGGTGGAAGACTCTGCAATCCCTCATGTGGCCCAATGGTGGCCACGCTGCCCATTGGGCAGCAGGTGGAATGCACCCAGATCCAAGGTTTGACCCTCCTACAAAGTAACAGATACCAACACCTAATCTAACCATTTCCTCCTGTCAAAAAGGAAAAAAAAGGTGGAAGACTCTAATCAACTGGTAGGTCCTTTTTGTTAGCTAGAGTGAGATCAAATGCCGACATATCAAGGTTTGTTCTACAGAATCAACATCCTCTGTAGAGAACTCTTCAAAATGCTCTGCATAACCAGCAACTTTCTTATTAACAACTTTCTCTTTTAACTCAAAATCATAGGAACCAAGCTTGCCATTTTTTCTTGAATCTTCGAGACTCATGCCTATCGAGACATTGCTAGAGATATTCATCTTGCCTCTTCAAGGAAACTATCTCAAGCCTTTGCTAGAGACATGAAGTTTGTTTTCTTAAATCACTCAACTCCTCTTGATATCCATGAGAAGCCATCAAGGGCAATGCACCATTACACTAGGTATGGCTCAAACCAAAGCTTTGATACCAATTTCATACATTAAGGATCCTTGGGATCACCTGCTTCAGTGCCTTAAACATAAAGGTATAACCAGGAGGATCGCTCAAAACACAAGAGAATCTACTCTTGAAACATATAAATATGATTCAAATAAGAAAACTCAGACTAAGCCCTATTTAAACTAAATCCTATTACCTAAGTTCATCCTTTAATTAACTTCTAATTCATGAATCTGGTCTTCTAGGTGCATATTAAATGACAATGCATGTATCTTAACCCCTAAAAACATGAACTCCATAAATACATTAACCCTAATTTTAGACTATAACTAGAAATAGCAAATCATCGAAGCTCATCCAAATCCTTTGGCTTCATTGACAAGCTCCGACATTACTTATTTTCATCATTAGACCTTGAGTTTTGAAGTGTTGAATCCATAAAAAGTTTGAAGTAATAAAGTAAACCAAGTGCAGCAACATTGGTTGTGAACTTTCTTTTAAACCAAAGGAGGCAAATAGCAAAGGAGGTTTGGTTTCATTTATGCTCGAGAAGATGAAATCAACCTCTTGGACATCTTCAAGGAAGGGAAGGAATAAATAGCATCCATTTTTTTTTTTTTTTTATAGGACTTCTCGCAATTTTGACTTTGGCAACGTTGATTCTTGAGTGTCATCAAATATCAACTTCATCATTAAAGACCTATGATTTTTGAAGTTCTCCAAGCGACACTTGTGTCTTGATCCTCTCTTTGAAGCCCAACAAGAGAGGTATCAAGTTATCCACCGTCCTTTTTCTTGAACTTCTCCATAACCATTTCTATTAAAAATCAATTGTCCTCTTGGGTGGGAGAACAACATTGCTAAAATTTGACTCTGCTATTTTTTTGTTAGTATGAGCAACATGCGCAGCACTTTTTGCAAGATTTTCTTTCTCATACTGGGCTTGTGTCCGATAAAGTTCAAGCTTAGTAGCACAATTCTCAAGCACTTCCTCTGCTAGTTGTCAAGCCACTGGTAAAATATTTTTGTTTTGAGCTAGCAAGTGGTGGGGAGAATAGCTCCATGGAGATGTCTTCACTTTCTTCATGCCCAAGATCCAACATCATCATCAAACATGATTGAAAGCTTGCGTGATTGATAGTTTCTTAAATGATGAAACAATTAATTGAAATTCTTCATTTTGTTATCAGCATATGGAGCAACTATGGTAGCAATTCTTGTAATCTAACTTGTGCAAACCGCAATTACAATTCTAACGTGGGACATTTTGAATGATGGAGAAGTTGCTCCTGAACTAGTGCCTCTAATGATGGAACAATTCCTTTTGCATGTATAGACCTGGTGGTTGCCCTACTTCTGTTAGGGAATTCCATAATAGAGAGAAGCTAATGGATTGAGGAAGGTCCAAGAGGGAATACTATTCCTTTAATGTTTTAATAGACGTCATGTTTCACTCCATAAATCACAAGGAAATCAATGTCAAACCACAAAATTGTCCAGAAGTGATTGTTCTGAGCAGAATTTGGGAAAACAAACCTCAAAAATAGTGGGGAAAGGTATGCTAATGTGGCACTGACATGGTAGGTGATATGGCATTGACATGTCATATAATGTGTTGTTTTGGCAGATGATCTAATGCTGATGTGGCAATGATATGCTGCCTGACATGATACTACCGTGTCAACAACTAGATTCTGGGTTAAGAAGCAGATCCAGCCGGTGATGGCGTCTCAATGTTTTGTTCTGTCCCTGAATTTGGTGACAGAGTTGCAGACGCCGTCTAAGGTACCTTTTGCATGTTCATAGATCGGTCAGTGGTTTCTGTGCAGATCTAGAATAGGTAGTCTTTCTCAATGGACAGTTCGAGTTTTTTTCTTTATTCTTGTTTCTTGTCTTGATTGTAAGTTTTGGTGCAAAGAAGGTGATGATTCTGTTGTAAAAAATCTGCAATTTTTTCTTCTGTTTCTTGGGCTCAATGTTTCCCTTGTTTAGCAAAGATTAGAAGTGTAGAGCCTATTGATTTCATAGAGAATCATAAAATTTCGGCTAGGTTTAGTGGCACAAGATTGTTGGTAAACTCTGGTAGATGAAGAACAAGAATGGGGTTTTTGGATAATTTGAGGAAAGAGGTAAAAGATGAGATGAGAATAGACAAATTGGGGGTTTTTGAAAGACTTGGTTGGGGATTGTTAAGAGTGGTATTTTGCTGTGATTTGTGCATTTTTGCCTCTGATTGCAATTGTCTTTTGGTGTTACTGAGCCCTGGTATATTGGATTGGAGTGGGACAACTGTATCCAAAGGTTCTCATTTTTAGGATTACATTGTTTAGTGTATCAGAAAAGAGGCATGAGAAGTTTGTATAGCTTTTAAGGATGAGTTCCTCTTAATGGTTTGGAATTTATTTTCTTCGTTTGGATTAGCAAAATGGATGCTGACACCCATTCTAGGCAAATGGATTTTGGCTATGAGATTTTGATAAAGGGTTTTTCTTAGTAGTTTGGAATTTGTTTTTATAGTTCTAGGGTTTAATTTGACTATGAAATTTTGTGCCTGATTCATTCCTGGTTTTGTTTCATATTTTAACCCTAAGTCTTACTGTTTTCATATAGGAAGTGGTGAACTTTATGCTTGGGGCTCAAATGAGAATGGTTGTCTTGGCATCGGGTATCCATCTAAATTGAGACTTCTTTAACCTTTAGCTTGAAATTTCCTCTTAAGATTTCAGTTATAGACTGATGGTATCTTTCACCAATGTTGGTTGCCCTTCCAGTTCTACTGATGTCTTTCATCTACCTGAAAGAGTTGAAGATCCCTTTTTAAAATCTCCTGTTTGCAAGGTCGGTTTGATTCTAGACTCTCATGCCAACTGTGTCAACTGTCAATTGCATTTGGTTGACTGAAACAGCATGAAGTAATCAGTTAAATGCAATTTATCCTGTTATGCTTGATCTTTTTTTTCTCTCAGAAAATGCATATAATAGTATTTAAAAGAAAAAATAGAATGTAAAAGCGATAACATTATCAGTCAACCAGATTCCTGCTGCATCTAATTTTTACATTCTACATTTGCCTCTGCAGGTGTCTTGTGGTTGGAAGCATACGGCTGCAATTTCGGGTAAGGAGTAGACTGGTTTCTAAAAACTACTTTACAGAAAAAATTTCTTCCATGTTAACATCACTTTAACAGTTATGTGTTGTCTATAGATGCTAATTTTCCATTTAGGTTCTTGATCTTTTGCTCATATGGTTGGTGACTACTTTGTTATTAGGGGCAGAGTGAGACTTTTCAATTTATTGTTGAATTTCAGATGGCAAGATCTTCACCTGGGGATGGGGAGGATCTTATGGAACATTTTCTGAGGAGGGGCATTCTTCTGGTGGACAATTGGTTTGCTTCCATCCATCTCAGTTGTTTTATTTAAGGCTGCCTTCTACAAACAAATCTTTAGTTAATAATTATCATTATTCCATATTTCCATTTACTTTGCATGAAGGCTTTGTTGTGCTATTGCCAAGATTTTTAGTAAAAGAAAGAGGAATGATCTTCATGCATAAAAGCATTAACATGGTATTGATGTACTTGTTTTCAAGGAAACCTCAAAGTTCTTTCATGATCACCTCCGTACTCATGTTCTCTTCCTTGCATGGTAGCTCAGCAATTTGGGTTCTTTTTAACTCAATACAACATTCTCTTCAGGGTCATGGGAGTGATGTTGATTACACAAAGCCCACTATGGTCAACATTGGAGAAAATATGAAGGCCCTGCAAGTGTCATGTGGATTTAATCACACTGGTGCCATTCTTGAATGTTACTAATCTTTGACTACGTTTCTTCTGCGCAAGAAGAAATGGTTCATTATTTGCTAAGTGGAAGGTATGGCTTGGATTCTTGAAGCTTACCGCTTACAAAACCATCTTTTGTCAACAACTCAACTAAACGTCATGTTTGTTCATGTCTTGAGAACACCAGAAGTACACACACATTAACCGTTCACCTAATTTAGTCAATACATATCATCTTATTGTAATCAAGCGTAAAAATAAATCATACATGGTTATGCAATAAAATATCGAGTCATGCAAAGGGACATTTCTTTCGCATTCGGTAGAGCCGCGGGCCCAAAATGTTTTCATTTTCATGTTAACTCATGAATATCTCTGGTTGTAAATAAATGATAACTAGAAAATGATCTTACACTGATGCGGTTCTTAATTCTTTTGTTAGTAATTCATGTTGAAGCTCTCCTGTACATGCTATCACTTTGATGTCTGCAAATAGTTAGCGGATTATGTGATTCTCCTTTCAGTAACAGATAATTTGTCTAGGACGCTGTTTATGTGATGTAATTTGTGACAGTGGTAGTTCAATGTTTCTGTGATCCAATTTGAGGTAGTGAAGTTTTTGGGTAAGATTTTTGAAATAAATTGTTGAGGTAAGATTTTTATCTTTTGTCTCATATTATATTCAATATATTTTCATGATTATTCTATTCATATATTACACTAGTAACTTTGAAATTTTGTAGTTATTAAGAAAAATCTCAAAATCTGACTTGTCGTCCTTAATGAATTGGGCTCCAAATATTTTTTTTATAAACTCTTGAGATGATTCATTTTGTTACAGTCAATCTTAGCAATTTGTTTATGGAAGGGAATCAAGAATCCTATAAAAAAAAATTTTTTTCTTTAAATGAAATAAAGCATTCTTGTTGGATTACATTAAAAATATTGTTTTTGTAACATCCTATATACTTTAAAAATTAAAGATTTTTATTTTAACATTTTAAGGACTAAATTGATTAGAATTAGAATATGTGGATTTTATGTGAAATTATGAGATAATTAGAGACTATTTAACTAGATTTGCCAAATTTAAGACATGTGGCAATTTATGAACCAAGTCACGGGGTTTTTTTTTTTCTAGAAGACTTTAGAAAGTCAAATCCCTCTTTATTTTGAACTTATTCTTTCGGAACTCATTTTCTCTGCATCTTTCTTTTTCTAATTGATCCCCTGCCTCTTTCTCCCTTTTTTTTCTAGCTAAGATTAATGTATAGGATGCACTCTCAAGCTGAAATCCCTTCAATTTTTGCAATTCTCTTTAACTTGGCATTTTGATTTCCAAGGAAGTATAAATTTTGGTTATGAATTTAGGGTAGAGTTTTGGGTAGTTTATGAATTTGTTAGAATATGTTAACAATTAGTTTTAAATTGGTGAGATTTGACCCAAATTTTTTAGTTTATAAGATTTTTGGACATTAAAATTTCATTAGAAATATCTATAATTTTTGGGGCTTATGGGATGGACTTCCTGGTAAGTTTTATTCTTTTTATGTTTGAATTTAGCGTGAATTTGATGGTCAAATAATATGTTGTTGCTTTTTTGTATGTTTCGCATGACAAAATGAAGGTTGCTCAATTGGATCTTACTGTACGTGAGCCTAGAAGTAATTTAGTTACTGTTTACGCATATTATTTCACCAATCACTGTTTACTTGTGCTGTTCATGAATCACTGTTTACACATTGTTTACGCATATTGTTTACGTATTACTGTTCACACACCATACTTTAATTACTTTAATAGGGAGTTCTATGGAATATGTGAATTATGTATGTGGATATATTAGTGTGAACTTGAATTTTTAGTATCACTGATTATTGGGAACATTGAATGGGATAATATTTTATATTATTTTGGACATATTCTAGACATATTTTGAATTTATTTGACATTTGTATGTGTTTGTGGTTATGGAGTAAGTGGACCTAAGCTTAAAGCTTGAGGTATACAATGGACCCTTTGGGGTATACAATGGATCTTTCGGGATATTCAGTGGACTTCTGCGCAGTAGGGTTTGTACTATGATTAGCTCTGGTACAATTTTGTTAGCATACATCATTGAACTCTATAGCATTGTGTGATTTTCAATTTTTATGCATTATACTTGTGACATCACATTTGTAAGCATAAAATTTTATGATATGGATTGATTTAAATGTCATTGGTTATTCCTTGACATGTTTGATTATTTGAGTTAAATTGTGATAGTAAATTGTTAATTAGATATTGAAATTTATAGTATTATGTGGTTCAGTTTAATTGTCTTTTTGTGCTCTTTGTGTGTATAGGTCTAACGGTCTCAGAACTAAAGTTTATAGTTTAAACTTAATATTTACTGGGTTTTTAGCTTATAAAATTTCTTTTCATTTTAGATTAGTAGATTGGAGTAGCAGTCAATCAGCTTGATAGCTTTTGGTATAAATCTTGTATGTCGATCTCAATGCTTTTGATGTGAAGGCAGATTAATGTATTATCAAAACGATAATTTTGCTATTATTATTTTAGAAAGTAATTTGAAAAGCAATTGCTTTCATGTATTTTTTTGTATAAGATACTTTTATATAGATGACATTAAGATTAATTTAAATGGGTATAACCTGACTTATTTTATGACTTTAAGTATTTCGATATTTTTCTTAAGACATATTTCATTTATATAGTTTTTCCTTACATGTGAATGGTTGCTTTCTATAAAACTTTAAATTGTTTTGAAAACAGATTTTCCTTAAAAGGGGATGTTAGTTTTATCTTCAAGTTCACAAAGGGCTAAATAGATGAAAAAGATTCACTAGAATCTTGAAATAATTTAGAAGAAAAGTATGATAAAAAGAAGAGGGTAATTCTTCTAAAAGTTTGCTATGAATGATTTCATTTATTACTTGAATAAGAATTTGCCAATATTTTGAATTATTTTGTGGTTAAAATGATTTTCGATGGAAAAATCTCATTGAAAATATGCTTTTTTCATGTCTTGAATATATTCTAGTAGTAACAATATTAAGAGAAAAATATACTGATCTGTTGGTTCGAGTAGAAGTTCAGTTTTCTCTAAATAAAGTCTTAAAGTTTTGAGTTTTGTGAATGGAGAAAAAAGCGATAAGAGAGTTTTCTCCTTTATGGGGTTCGATATAGCTCGATTTTAGATTAATCGAGTCCAATATGGTTATCGAATATCAAGAGATTAATACAAAAAATATTAGGAGAAAAATATTAATAGATATATGTAAGGTTATTCTATTATAGTTGAAACAAAATATGATATTTTGATAGTGAATTACAATGCAATATTTTACTCTCATTCTTAAGTAGATGTGACATTATATGATAATTATGGGTGTGAATATAGTCATGATTATGAATATAGTACTACTTGATATTATTTTGAAAACTATAGAAATATAAAAGAAAAATATCTAAATTGGAAGGATTTGCATACGAAATCAACTAAGAATTATAAAAATGCTTTTTATAAATATAAAATGAAAGTAAAGTCCTAAAGCTGTTTCTTATAGATTTGATATAAAAAGTTACTACACTTACTATATATCTAAGTAATTATCTAATTTTATCAAATATCACATAATGAAAAAAAGAAAAAGTGCATTGTCATATTTTATTAGAAACGTTATCATAATGAACATGCACTTGTTATACTCACACAATTTGATTCTAAAGTTGGATATCTCATATCTATTTAAAAATAATAATTCTCTTATGATGATTTATATCTTAAAATTGCGATAATTTACATTTCTATATGATATACTTTTAAGTGAGAATTGCCTGTGGACGGAGAAGAAATCTAAAAAGAAAAGGTATCCTTATGTATTATCATTAGTCATGAGACTAATGGTGTCTAACTAAAATTTTATATAGCATTTGTATTGCATTATAAGGTATAATACTAAAATGTAATACGAACTCATAATATATAATTATGGTATAATAGTGCATGATGAAAATAAATAATTATATGGCACTTTACTTTAAATATAAAAAAAGACCATGCCTTGATAAAAATTCCTCTTATACAATAAAGTGCAATAGTTTTTGAGTTAAAACTTATTAAATACACATTTTTGTGCAATGTAAAAAAAAAGTGATTCATTAGCTAAATTTGATATTGCAAATATGGTACTATGAATTTTGAAATCTAGGTAAACAAAAGTGCTATATGAGTTAGTAAATACGTGGGTTAATATGGTAAAAGAAAAAGAAAAAGTTTATATAAGATATATATTTATATCATGTATATAGTTACACGTGTCATTCTAAAAACTTTTCCTAGTTATAATTAATTTAAAACTAATGTAATATTTAATATTACAATTATAAGGCTTTGGAAGAGTTTAAATTTTGTTAATGACAAAACACTCCAAAAGATATAAATTTTTATTGCTTGAAAGAATAAAAAATTATTAATATATGTGACTTTGTATTTTTAGTAGATTATATTGGAATTTATTAAATTTACATATACAAAAGATGATGGTTATCATATTGAAATCATATGAGAAGGATATAAAATATCTTTATGTTACTTTTCTTATATGTGGCTAAAAATCACATATTTGACCATATTAATTTTCTCTTATAAATTATGTATACATACATAAATATAATAAGATCAAATTTTGAGACTAACTAGAAGTTAGTTGATCCTAAAAAGTTTTTATTGGACCTAATTAACTTGGCCAATAAATTATTTTTCATATGTTTTATTCCCTTGAAAACATGATTACCAAAATTTCTATAAATGAAATTAAAAAATAATCTTCTTTTTTATTATATTGAGTTTAAGGAGATATGCTGATTTAAAACTTCTCCATTTAAAATATTTTTATATATTGTGATATTAATATGTGCTTAAATATAATGGTAAAATGTTAGTTCTTATAACAACATATATAATTTTGCATTTAGAGTATATCCTTCAGAATATACAAAAAATAAAAATAAAATTCTTACTTGAAAATGCAAGGGAATTTGCATCTCATAAAAGGTTATGAGTCTACTGATTTTGAATTCAAATATGTCATTAAATATTTTGAATGATTGATTATTGATATATTCACAACAAATTTATTAATTATCAAACTAAAGAAATTATATCAATAACATTGAGGGGAGAAGATTTAACATAGGGGTGGGATTTTGTCAGTTTCAGTTTAGATCGAAATTGACTAATTAGTTAATCAAGATATCAGAGAGAAATTATTAACTGAACCAAAATTTATCAATTTACATCATTTGGTTAATTTTTTAATCAGTTATTATCAAAACGGTTTTGGTTTAAACCAAATTATAAACACTATTTTTTTTTCTTTTTCCATTTGCTTTTTCACC